ACTCTTTCTTCTACCCTCTAAGATTGTACTTGTCGCCTGTATCAGGGAAAGGTATGAATGGGTGAAAAAAGGAAGCAATCATCAAGGAAAGGATTTTCTCAAGAAAAATAATGAATGCAGCCAGCAGGAGAAACCTGTGCACAAGTTCAGGGCAAGAGGCTAAATTTGTTACAATGATTAGCATTTGCCAGGAATGCATGTTTACTGGGGTGAGACGTTTAAAGTAAGGATCATCAATAACAGGCAAAGTAAAAGCTGATGGGGGAGGGGGGGGGCTATTCCACATTCCAAGCAGACTGCTTCAGTGCATTTGTTTCAGGAAGGTTTTAACATCCCTGGCACTTTGGCAATGAAACCCATGCTCCTACAGTGTAGGGGACAGGGGGCATGTGCAATATTAAGAACCTACTAAAAGCACCAAGGAAAAGCCCATGTACATACTGAATGGGAATGCCAGTCCATTCTTCTCTATAAGCTGCAAAGTATCTTCTCCACAGGCACTTGTCAGCTCCATAAAGGGTGGTGAACAGATCCTCTCATCTGCAAGACAAAAAAAAGAATCAAATGGAGATGAGGGGTTTAGACTCTCAGCTGCATCATTACTAGCTCTCACCACAGACAGTTTTACTGTAACAGTGGATATTAAAGCGTTGCTTTGGGTTTCCGGACATGCTTCAGAAGATGAAAAGCCCATTTTTCAGATAATCTAAATGGAAATATAAAGTCTATATTTTCACAGTTAGGCAGCCAAAATGATTGCCTGCTTGGGAATGTGTAGTTGCACAAGACTTAACCAGTGAGGTGAAAAGCAACTGGAATCTTAGCCCTTGACATTATACCTTCAAGTGTAATTTTTTTAAGCAGTTTACAAGCACCTGAATGGTCAGCAAGTATGGCTGGATTGGGCAGTCTCAAAGCCTTCATTACTGTAAGGGCCTTCAGGCAGCCAATGTCACTGTGGATTTACTTCAGCCAAGGTGCCAACCATACAGTACATCCAACTCTCCACTGGGAGAGCAGTGCTCATTCGGTCTGGCAAAGCCAGTCAGAGAATCTTAGAGACACTGAGACACTTTGGCAAGACTGCTCAGTGGACTTTGGTTAAAGAGAAAAAAACACAGGAAACCATGGTAAAATTTAACAGAGTAGGTCTGTTAAAAGGTGTTTCTGCTGATGTTGTCCTTGTTCAATTGTGGCTGCAGGAAGGCTGGACCCAGCCCTCTTAGAGATTCATCAGGTTGAATTGCTCTAGGATTCACATCCTGTTCACTGCAGGAGAACTAGGAATACAGCATGAAAGGGGAAAGCACTGTAGGACACACAGTACTTGAGAATAAATCTCAGGTTGCAATTTCAAATCGAAAGAGAACCTTGGCTTCAGCCTTGGCTCTGCGACAGGTCAGCAGGCCCCAAGACTTTCAGACAAAAGCTGTGAGCACACTGAGAAGGTCAAAACAAGAACATCACCCAAAGAAGACTAACTATCCAAATTAACTCCTCAGTGAGAATAGTCTTAAAAGTACTGCCTCCATGGAGTTTTAGCTATGGTCAGGTTAACTTTGGAGACATAAATTAGTTACAACTTGGGTTGTCTGCAAAACACTGAACCGCAGTTCAGAATGGGTGCACCGAAGCTCACTTCTAAGACTTATTTCTAGAGAAACAGCATGACAAGAAGCTCCAAGAAGCAGCTGGAGACCAGCACAAACATTGGGAGCATCTGTATCTAGCAAACTCAAGTCAGTGGTTTGTATCAACCAGCAACTTGTCTCGAAAATAAAGCAAAATGTGACTGTTGTTACCATCCACAATTCTCCTAGCAAGTAGAGAACCCCAACAGGTGGAAGCTGTGCTGTGCAGATGGTGCAGAAGCTGAAAAGCACATGTGAACTAAAACTCCAGCAAAAATAACTATATACTGAGAGAGAGCCATGCATCTAGAAACCACTTTATAAGTATTGTTCAGATTAATGATTTTCACTTCATTATAAATATATGTTTATGCATGTTCCCTCACAGAGAGGAGAAAACAGAATCACTGAAAATAACAGAGGTTATATTGGTATACCTATCTCAATACATGCTTCAACACTGAGAATATCTGAGAACTCCAGCCACTAGCAATACTGTTGCTAAAAGTTTTATGAGAAAAGACTATCTTCATACATCCTAAAAGGAGCAGAAAGATTGATGTTTTGAGGTCAACCTCTACAAAGCTAAACAAAACATCCCAGACTTCAAAGCTTTCGGTTTGCTGCTAAGAAAACAAAAAGCAGCATCCAAAAGTGACAGGTACTGCAATATTTGCAAGTATTTGCCAGAACTAAAGTTTCATAGTTGGATGAATTCAAGGAATCAGATTTAGTTTACAGATACTTGGGAACAACTTTGGCTTGGCATGCCTCCCACCCATATGCTTAAGGCTCACAAATAACTTTGCCTTCAGAGTGCAGATGCAGAGGGAAGTTTGGTTCCATTTCACTTCCGTCCATTTCTCTTCCATGCAAACAGCACTGGGAGAAAGGAAGATTGAACAT